TGCCTTGCCTTGCCTTGCCTTACAGTCAGCCTCCATAATCAGGACATTTCAGACATTTATAAAAATCCTAGCTTCCCTACCGCGCCACACAATTTCTAGAGATGATTCTGCTTAGCAGTGTGATGAACCTCAAGGTCTGTTGTTGTTTCCTGCATCTGGAAGCCATGATTAGATTATGATTGTCATATCCACTTCCCAAAAGCCGACTCTGTCAAGTAAATTCACCAAACTCTGCCTTCTTTGCCTGACTCTCCGCAGACCTCCTGAATGTTACCGTGCTAGCGTGATGGGAAAACAGTCGTAAGGAACCAAGCACAGTTTGGTTTTCAGAGGGTAGAGGAAATGGGGCTTAAAATACTGACTCCACATAGATAACCCGCTAGATCCCCTGTAGATATATTAATTACAGCCTCTTTGGATAAACTGATAAAATAATTTTGCCACCAGGGGTGAAAGTAGACATTCTTTCTGATACTTTATTAAGTATCAGAAAGAATGATACTTAATAAAGTATCATTCCTGCATCAATTTTCTTTTTGTTCAGATTGAGACGTATATAACCTACATATCTATACACAATAGCCTACATAAGAACCATTTCATAGGGGTCTTATATAAGAAAAATACACAGAAAACCTGCAAACGATGCAGAGCTTAATTTAATGGAAAGTAAAATGTTAAAATATTGAAAGGAAAAACTACAGGAAAACATTTCCCTCTTATTTGAATAGATAGAAGCAGGAAGAAAGAGAGAAATAGTCAAAGACGATCTATGTGCATTTCAATAAGTGACTTTATTAAAACATAAACATTAGCAGCAGAACATTTAATCTGGATATTCCTTTGGAAAAAATTCAAAGTTTTTTTTATCACCTCATGTGCGCTGGAAGTAATTAAATCCATACAGGCAGATATTTTATCAGCCACATATAGTTAATTCAGCACCAAGGACAGAGTCTGCCATCGGGCTGCAGCGTGAGTGAACGCATGGATCAAAGCGCGTAGCACGGCTGACATAGCGGTTTGCAACGCAGTTTAAGTTGATCACACATCAGACACGCACTGAATGAGCGTAACTATTGCATAGGAGAGGAATTCAATTTTTAAGCTCAGTCTATTCAGGGGATCTATTTCATTTAGGAAATGTGGGGCCCTAGGCAAACACAGGCAGGGGGCCCTCTGAATTGAGAAGACAACACATAGAACAGACCCATTCTCCAGATAGAGAAATGTTAATAGAATAGACATCCATTATCTGTTCTAGGTTGTGTCCTTCTCTTCTTGTCCCTTTTCTTCTTGTTTTCCTCTCTATGTTTTGTACTCAGCTGACTTTTCATGCTGTCTCTAAAGGAATGAAAGATTTTTTCCAAGCACTAAGCTCACTTAGCTGATTGCTCCTTCCTGTGTTTCCAAAAAGGCCAAAGTAAATAACCCAGTCCTTCTTTTCACTGTAGACAAGCCATGATCTGCTTCTCTGTTCTCCATTTTTCATTTGGATGAAATAATAGCTGCATGAATCATGACAGCAGACAAGATAGAGGAGAGCAGCAGGCGGGGTTACCAATCTACTCGCTCTGGAGAGCAGAGTTCGCTGCTTTTAGATGTTGTCTCCAAAGTCTCCAGTAGCAGAAAAAAGTCTCTAGATTTGGCGCTAGGAGCTTTTTAGAAATCAAAGCACTAGAGGGGTCTGAAAAGTGGCTAAATATCGTTTGTTTTCAAACGAATTGCTGCTGTCTGTTTAAGGGGGGGGGGGGGGGGGGGGGGGGGGGGGGGGGGGTTAATGCTGTTAAAATGTAAACATTAGATGATAGATGATGCCTATAAATTCAGCAGTAAATAACCTTATATAATTATGTTTAAATCGGAAATATCATTAATTACATAGAAGATTTTGGTGGATTTCTTTAAGTTTGAAGCTTTTTCTTTCCTCTCACCCCAGAAAAGGAGCTTCAGTGCGTTTAGCGACGCTCAGATTGGATCAGCAAGCTGCTGTTCACCGGTTGGGGCAGAAACAACCTGCAGTAATAAAGAATAAAGCTGAAGAGACGAAGCGTCCAGAACCAGCAGGCCGCTGTAGAGTTTTGCTTCTGTGTTTCAGTCAATTATTTCCCAAACTGGTCATTGATTTTCTCATTGAGCCTCCCTCTGAGCTCCACTCTTCTGCTATCGAGCTTTTCGCTTGGATACCCACGGTTTGACCAAGCATGGGACCCCCCCACACACACACACTGATGAATCAGCACATAATAGACAAGCAGAAGCATCTCTATTATGTTAAACACTTCTGTTAAACACTTTGGTCTGATCCAAACAGAGCGACTGCATCGACTTTCATTGTGAGCAGAAATGAGAAAGCAGAGTTTCCCCATCAGTCTGTCTCCATGCAGTCAGTCCACATCTCTTCTTTCACCTCACTGATTAGTTGAACTATTTCTCCTCATCTTGTCAGCCTGAACGCATCGATGCCATCAGTGGGAGACGACTCAGAGGAATATGAGCCCAGATCCGTCAGGAGCACGGCTGCTGTTCAGAGTAGATCTGCCTCTGATAGATTTCCCTCATTAGATTCATAGTTCCTCATAGTTCACGTCTATATACCTATAGAACCAGCCCCTCCATTTACAATCGATTACACGTTTGGGCAAAAAAGAACAAAAACCAAAGAGCAGTGAGCGCTTTAAAGAGCAGCTATGGAAGGATGGGATCTGCTTGACCCTCATCAGATGGCCAAAGATCTGCCATCTGCACCCAAACTGGAGCACAGAGACAGGGATGCTGCTGGTTGGCTCAGACCAAACAAACAGCAGGAGGTCTGAAAAACCAGTTCAATACTGGAAAAGGAAGAATGGAACCAGTATTAACACCCCATAACATGATGAGCAGAGATGACAGCGATCTGTGGGCTTTAAACCGCTTTCATTGGTATGCACCGACATGGAGTCAAAGCCAGTGTTCCCATTACAGACGGCATCAAGGTGATCTGATGGCTTAACTCAGCTGTTTGCTCTCACACACACACACACACACACACACACACACACACACACACACACACACATACATGCTTATCTGAATGCATGTATGCAGTGAAACAGTCAGAGTAACATTCAGCCTGGGTGAACCTAATTAGACCTTCAGCCCATGCAGGATCAGAACCAGTAAAGAAACAGAGCCTTGGTGTGATCAGCTCACCGTGGCAAGGATGAGGAGGGAGAAGTTCAGGAGAGTTCACAGCTTCATCTACCAGAGCAAACCACTTTTCACTCACAGCCATCTGATTCCCCTGCTAACAGAAACCTTCCACAGAAAGTTTCATCTCATTATCTGCATGGAAGGAGAACCCAGGATCATTGCTGCTAATCTGTGAGGACATCAGGACATCCAGCCCCTCATGTCCATCAGCTCCTAACTTCTCCTGTCAGCATGATCTGCTGCCTGAGCGGGTGAAGGCGTAAAGGAACCCTGATCACTCACCGTTGGAGCCCGTGAAGTTCCCCCAGTCCAGCAGCGAGCTGTTAAAGGACGGCAGAGACTCGTTGAAGAACAGATCGCTGCCGTTGGATGGGTTCCTGATGGTGTCGGTGAATAGATTCATCTGCAGCAGGGTCTTGATCAGGTAGCGCAGCATGGTGCCCCCCCAGAGGGACCTGCAGCCCCGCTGCTCTGGGTGCTTCCTCTCAGCTTGTCCTCCTGAAAGTCAGGCTTTCTCCAAGTGATGCTCTGCTCAGGCTTCCACACGAGGGAGAAGATAAATCAGAAAAGTGTAAAAGAGTAGAAATAGAAGTAAAGTTGGTGGAAATCGGTTGTCAGCTTGCAGAGGCGGGGTCCTGCTGTGACTCCCCCTGAGCATCGGATCGGGCCGTCCTCCTTGTTTCTATTGTTCTGGGATTAAATAACTTCACATGCCGTCTGCCGTCACCCTGAACAACAGCCTCTTGCTGCTGTGGAAGAATCCAGCGAAGTGATGTTGACCCTTCAGATTGTTCTCCGCTCTCCAACCCCTCCCTCTAGCTCCTCCTCCCTCCCTCTCTCTCTCCCCTCTCCTCTCCTCCCTCTCTCTGATGGGGTCCCTGGAGGGGAGTATGGGGCTGAGGGGGGTCCAGAGAGCAGGTGTTGTTGGCTATAAATGTTTAATTATTAGATTCATAATCATCCCAGGAGGCTGTGAATCAGGGTGGCTGAGGAAAAGGCTTACTGTCCCTGTCTTTAAAAAAACAAAACATGCAGAGATGCTCCAAAAAAAGACACGGGATGAGCCAGACTCCTGCTGTGTGCTTTGAATTGATCCATTTTAAAAAATACAAACAGATTCTGACAGCTTCTCGGTACAGATCTATGTTGCATCCAATGCTTTTAACTGAGACACGTAAGTTTAAACAAATCTCCCAGGTTTAAGTTCACTTCACTGGCTGCAGGTTAACTTTAGCATTCATTTTAATATTTTCTTATTTTGTCTTTAAATGGCTTTTTCCTGTCATAAATTGGGACAGATGGACCCAGTATTCAAGGAGAGTCAGACAATGAGAAGTTTCAAAACATTTAATGACAGAAAATAATAGAACAAAACCGAACGCGGACTGCTGAGGATAAGCAGACCGCCTCGGCTGCAGAAGGGGGAGCGGGTCACCGCCCAATCACTGACGCTCTGGAAGCAGACACATAGGTAAGTGACCACGATCATCTGACAGGAGGTGATAATCAGAGTGAGTTTATTACACCGTGCAACACTTACCTCGTTTACTGTTCAGTTTATCCAGTCTGAGGAAGGTAGGATCCAGCCGATGGACTATCAAACGAGATGCAGCCAAGAGCCGCCCATCAGTGTCCCGGAAGCAGCAGCCTCAGTGAGCAGGCAGGAATGTGATCCAGGTCAGGGAAACAGTTCAGAACCTGACTAGGACCCGACTAGGGGTTGTGATCCGAACAGGAACAGACAGATCCAGGGTTCCAGGAATCTTGAGAGCGTTTAGAGTTCCATGAGTCCAGTGGCGAGCTCAGACAGACACACTCAGATGGAGACAGACAGTGGTAGAGAGACAGAGACAAGACATGGTACCAGAATTACTGCAGAACTTTAAACTGGTCTCCGCCTAAGAGACAGGCTTACTGGACTAAATCTGACCTCCCCCGCACGCCGAGCCAAAACCCTGAGGGCTCATAGTGGTTTCTGGTTTCAGACAGGTTCAACCTGGGAAACAGAGAAGACAAAGGATCAGGTTCAGGTTCAGGTCTCGTAGTCAGGAGACTAGACAGACTGGTTGGCTCAGGGTTTGCTGTACTGTGACTGACTTACACTCTGGCACTGGAGTGAGGTTCTCAGCCCGCTTAAGTACTGGTCTCCTGATGAGCAGATGAGAAACAGCTGGTGAAGTCAGCTCCAGCTTCAGGACATCCAATACGCCCTCTGGTGGAGAAAGGTAGACAGAACCCCAGATCCCAACAGTAACACAAACCACTAGGAAGGGATCCTTGGCGCCCTCTGGACATGATCAGGAGGCAGGAGACAAACACCAAACCTTCTTAATCCACTGGCCTCCAAGAGTCAGGACATGAACAAGGAACTAACTAACTCTCATAAAACAAAAATGGATAACTGACACAAATAAAGTAAGAAAAACTAACGAATTAACGAGTAATGATCTGGCCCCGATAGCTGGGCTGAACCGTATATATAGCAGAGGAAGCAGGTGCATAAGTTGAATGATAATTAGAGAGCAAGGAGGGAAAAGCAGGTAAAT